CAATTCCTATGCAAACTTTTATACGTTGTCATTTTGTATCATTAGCCAGTCCTTTTCTGAGTTTATTTTCCTCTTCTGTTTTTTTTTTTTTTTTTTTTTTTTTTTTAGGTGCAAAACAAAGCGCGCACATTGACGAGCTGACCACGGGACTCGGACATTGCCCAGATTCAGTGATGCGTGGCGCGGCTTTATGCTTTGTTATGCATTCAAGTGATTTTTTAGCTGCTGTTTGGGGATCGGAGCGAACAGATAGAAAAAATACTTTATTGCTGCCATGCTTGCCTCGTCAAGTGAAAAGGGTATATTGGTTACGTGTTCTGTTCCTTTAGCTATTACTTGATTTATATGACGAGACTTTGCCTGCGCCAAAAAAATGATTTATTGCCAGAAAAAGTCAGCGTGGTCACAATTTGGGCTCAAGTGTATAAATGAGCAGCTTGGAATGAAAAATACTCAAAGTCGATTCATATTTTAAAATATTTCCGAGGAGTAGGAATAAATTGAGTAATCAATAAGCTAGCTCAGTGTTAAGGCTGTGTACCATTTAATTTAAGAAAAACCAACGAAACTGCTAAAAGCTTTATCTTTTAGTTTTATTTTATTTATTTTTATTTTTTTATTTTTTATTTTCTACACGTGGCTAAAAGTTTCAAACTTTGCCAAAATTCAGTTAGGATTTGGCCATTTCCTGTGTCGTGCAACTCTAACAAATCTCATTGCATGCTGGACATGCTCTCTCACTCTCGCCCCTTTCTCTGTCTCTGTCTCTATATATATTTATATAGTACATATTTACCTTGTGCATCTGTAAGTAATTTCCTGTCCCGTACACTTTCCCTCCTGTCTGCAATGTGCTGTTCAATTTGTATTGTCACTGCCAGCGTTCGCCCCTCTTTGCTTTTTTGCCACATCAGCAATTGAGTTTTTATTTCCATTGTATTTATTTATTAACTTTTTTAGTCACGGCTAAAATGTGTGCACATTGTTGTAAGAATGTAGTTTAAAGCGTCATACAAAAACTAGTTTATTGCCAAGCGATATGGATTAAAGAGCTTAAGTTTATTTAAATTCTGTTTTCTGCTTTTTTCAGGAATTCCAAGCACATTTTTCCTATAACTGAAGCTTGCACTATTTATGCTTGTATGTGAGAAATGTTGAAAGAGAAATGACTTGGGTTTAGTAGAGCAAATATCTGTTGATCGTTTCTTTCATTTACACTTTGAGAGAGAACAACCCATGGCGCCAGCTCTTCAAGAAATTCGCTCCAGATCCAACAGAAATCTTTTTAATTTTTAATTTTGTTGTTGATTAGTATTTACACTTATTCACGAAAGTAAACCCATATACTATCCATTCAGAATGGGAAACCGGGATATTGGTTTTCTTAACTGTATTTAACAAGCAGAAGGAGGCGTGACCTCTAAGTATTTCCTCCAAGTATATTCTCCCAAGTCTTTAATGCTTAGCTGAACGATCACACACTTCAATTCACTTCAGTTCACTCTGCTGCACTGCACTACTGACCCCCACCAGGCCTGGACGACTGAAGAAATGCTGCAGCTGCTGCCCTTTATATAGGGCGACTCTCACTCAATGACGGCGCCAGGTAGAGATCGCTGTAGTCGAGCATAAAATTACCAATGGCAGCACTCTCTTCTGCTTCGAGCTCTCTAGCTTCGTTTTACTCAAATATAAATACCAAATGAGTACTGCTGCCTGCATACATTCAACCCAAATGATTCTCTGTAGTTCTTCTTCATCCAATTGAAGGACAGACGTACATATATAGGCAAACAAAAAGCATAGCTAAATCGGATTACCTCATTTCGCTGTTCAAGAATATATATATATTTCATAATGCAAAGTGTTGATATGCTAAAAAGCATATGTACATTAATATTTATATTTATTAGATAGCATAGACAGCCGTTTCTTTTTCTTCTTCAATCGTATCCCCCATAAACGATGTTCAATAAAATCGCGGCACGAATAGTAGAACGAAAAGCGCTCAGCCGAAGACCCAAACGAAATAACCGAAGCGTCTTGCTCAGAGCGAGAGGGTGGGAGTATGTTTGTTGCCGAATGCTCTCATGTGCTTTCACCAGCTATGATATAGCTGTAAATCCACCCGAAAGAGCTGAATCGTGATTTTAAGTCACTATTAAAGGATTTATGTTAATTATGCATACATAAATATACATATGTATGTATATTTGAGCTCGATTTTATTTAACTTTTTTATTTCTATTATAGAGAACATTTGTACCCAGCAATCGCACTTAGCTCAATCGAGTCAAGAATACTGCAGCTACTTCAGTTTTTTTAAGTTGTGCTCTTCATATGCAAAGCTCACAAAATTATTGTCAGTCACATTCTCATAATTATGTGCAGGCTCTCTGAATAGTCCACAAATTACTTTGTGGGCTCGGGCCTTGCAACCTTGAAAAAGCACTCAGTATTTGGACTAGGCAAAATTACGACCACTTCCTAATTGATGGCCTACAAATCTCGTACTCTGCGTGGTTATGTGTGCTAATTACGACTAAAAGTTAAGCGGATGCCTGCGTTGGCATTTCGTTGCGGTTGCAACTGCCTAAAAAAAAAGAGTTTTAGCCGATTTGCGGTTTTAGCCATGGAACTGAGCTAAGTCTGTGCGAGATTTAAAAATATCTTTTAAATTGTCGATCAATGTTGGCATAACAAGAGCAACAGCAACAACAACAACAACAACAACAACGACTCGACAGCCCAGTTGGCAAAGAGATGAGCTCGCAGCCACAACTGGTCACTAAAAAGTAATTTTCAATGTGCATCGAAACTCAATCAATCATTCAAAATGCATAACACACTCACACACACACTCGCACACACGCTCACAGCCACACACACGCGGCACACACCCATGTAGGCAGAGAGTGATGTGAGTGGAGCAGAAAATTGAAAAATAAAACATGGCAAAGGGTTTCGCCTTTGCCATCTGATGGGGTGCGGCACATTACGTCATAGCTTGGACAGTTGTCAGGCCGTTGACAGGTAGACCGACGAGCAAATAATGAAGCATCAGGCAACACGTGTGGACTGCTCGACTTGTTCAGGACCAGGAGCGACAGCAGTGAGTAGAGAATGTAGAGAATGAGCCACTGGAGCTTACATTTTCTCCTTGAAAAACTTTCCAGTCATTCATAAAAAACTAATTGAAATTTGGAATTGCTTCTTCTTTATTTATTACAACTATGAGATCGACAGCTAGAGAGAAAGGGAGTGTGAGAGAAAGAGAATTATATACCTTGAGAAAGAAAACCATTTCATGATTACTCTTACTTTAGACGAAGCATTGTCTTCATTCTTCGTCTCCCTTCGTTATAATATTATGAAAGAGATGGAGAGAGAGAGAGGAAGAGAGAGAGAAAGATAGAAAGATAGAGAGAGAAAGAAAGAGATATAGTAAGTGATATTCATTGAGACGTGACTGTGTTCTATCCTCATCTCCTTTCATTAGATTAGGTAGAGTAAGATAGAGAGAGAGAGGGAATGATAAATAAAAACATCTCATGATTAAGCCTACGTTTTATTTCTTCTCCTATTATTATAACTGTAAGAGAAACATAGAGAAATCTTAAAAAATTCTCTTACTTTAGACGAAGCATTGTCTTCATTCTTCATCTCCTTTCATTATAACTGCAAAATCGAGTTGGAGACAGAGAAAGAGATACAATGAACTATCTCCAGCTTACTCTTACTTTAGGCGGATTTCTGTCTCCTGTCTTCATAGCCTTTCATTAGATAAGATAGAGTAAGATAGATATATATATACATATCTAGAGAAGAGAACGACAAATACAAACAAATAAAAACATCTCATGATTACGCCTACTTCTATTAACAGTAAGAGAAAGATAGAGAAAGTCCCAGAATGATATACATATATTAAGAAATATAAAAATCTTATGCAATACTCTTACTTTACATGGTGCTCACATAAGCTCTCTGTACAATCCTTATAAGCTATAACTATAAGCAATATTTCAATTTCCATAAATAGCTAATTGAATTACAGAAGGGTTCATAAACAACTATCCATAAATAAAAGTAGATTCATTTATTTCGCATACAATATTTATCTGTAAGCAGGGACATTTCGCCTGAACGGAATTTCGCAAAGCCTATGCAAATCAAAGCGCTAAGTGGGCATTGCCCGTGGCAGCAGAGGATCAAATATTTGTTGGTAATTTGAATTCTTTTAAGCTGCTCGAACAACTCGCATATTCCAGACACTTGCACACCCTTGAGCGCCCACCCAGCGCCCAGCCAGCGCGAACCCCATTTCAATTTAAGGCCATAAATCCACAACACATGCCAAGCTGAAGGCGCAGGGAGCAAATGTAAACAGCAAACAACAAACAAATCCAAAAACTACTTTTGGCAACTTGACACGCTCCGAGTAAAGACCCTTCAGAAATTTACATAAAAGCTCCGCCTCTCTCTCTCTCTCTCGCTCGCTCTCTCCCTCGTTCTTTCTATCTTAGCTAAGAGGGAAAGATAAGTGTGATGAGTCAACTGGGCTGTCGCCCCGAAAATCTGGCTAATTTTCTATGGCTCGGAATGCCTAATGAAGTCCTCGAATTGTCACCGGCAGATGTTTTGGGTCAGGCTGTGATAAAAACTTGGCTAGCTCGCAAATTATACCAAGGTCTGTCAAATCACAGGCATTCGTCGCTCAAATTTATGGAAAAATAAACTTAATAATTGAAGATTGAATTAGAAAACATTTATGTAGATAGCTGACGTACTCCAAATATTTGCAGCTATAAATTATATTACTTAATAAATTAGGCAAATCAAAGGAGAACAAGGCCCAATTAACACTGATTTTCAATTGTGTGAATACTGTAATTATTAAATGAAGTTGGGTCTGCCTCCAGCCTACCAATGCTATGCTCTACTATATTTCCTCCAAAATATATCATATTCCCCAGCTAATCCGTTTCCTTTGTGTGACAACTATGAAATTACAATAAATATATTTAGTCAAATGAAATTAGGCCGAGCTGATGATAGGCGCAGCTGCAAGCTTAAACACTGCCCAAAATGCCAGGGGAAACGCAGAGTCAAGTTTTTGCTGATTGAGTCAACAGGAGCAGCGAGCAGGAGGCCGGCCACCCGCAGTGCGGCAAAGTCCATGTGTGCCCGTCGATATTGAATTAAAGCGATAACAAATTGTAATTACTGGGCGTCGGCCAGAGGTCGGAGCTAATGGAGTTTCGCCCGGCACAGCCCAGCACAGCGCTGTGGCAGCATAAATAAACAAATTGACATAAATTAGTAGAGATTGAAAAAATTGCGGCCACTAGTGCGCTGGGGGATGAGCTCCAGCGTGTGGTGGATGAGCTCCAGCTGCCCCTGGCCTGGTTCTCCTCAGTTATAAATGTCGTTTTTATGGCTGGCCACGTGTAAATCTTGTGAGGCTGCTGAGCCATGCGGAGCCATTCGCTGGCATCCGTGTGTGGCATAAATTACGCGCTAAATAAGGTCAAGAAATAAATTTCACTCTGATTGGCCCCAGAGACTGCCAGAGGCTGCCACCAGATCATCAACAAGTTGCCGGTAGCTAATAAAAATCACTCAAATAGCTCAGATTACCTGAAGTACTCAGCTCAACTCGAGCCATACGATATGAACTGAGGAATGTAAACTCCGCATTCTGGATTCGAACTGTGAGCTGCGGGGCACCAAATGCAATTGGACCACCAGAGGAAATTGAAGATTGAGTGTATTTGTATAGAATAAATATATGTAAATTTATACATATGCATAAGTAATATAAAATGGGATAAACGTTGACATTCTCAAACTAAGAAGGCTAACAAATACGTGACAGAATGTTACTTAATCAAATCAAATACGCTACAGAATGCTAATTAACAAAATATGCTAATTATGGAATATAATTAGATACGCCTTCCATCTGGCTATTTAAAGGGTGTCAGAGCAAGGTCCAACAAAGCCCCGTTATGAAGTGGATTCTACTGCTCACATTCTGTATGGCAATCGCTACGGCATTGACTTTGCCTTACGACCACATCCCACCGGAGTGCTGTGAACGCAATGAGTGCGTGCTTCCAATCTGCTACTAAATAGTCAAATACAAATTTAGCTTGCCGCGATAATTTGACAATGTGTAAAGTGTTTTTATTATTATTGCTAAACGAGTAAAAGTAATCGACTCTCGCTATGTTGCTAATTTCTGTAGGACGGGATGAGTTGAGCTCCAAGTGAATCTAATTGTGGTACATTCCATAAGCGCATATTCAATTGGAACACCTCCGGATATACCTACTGAGGGCGTCAGTAGGACCTTTGTATATTTACAAAAGATGAGGTTATCTGTTTCAGTAAGTGGATACTCTGGATACTGGAATATCCACTCAGATCTATGAGTGTGTGCATAAAAAGCGTAACATGATTGGAGTTTCAGCATGCCTGAGGAGATCTCGTACTCGAGCAGTCTCGATCAGAGCATTCTAACCTGCCTTCATAATGCAATTTGTAACAATTATCTTGCATTCATCAACACTTGATTGACAGCTCTTCAGCATCTTCTATATGCTTCGATTATGCTTAAAACAGTTGAGAATATGCCTAAGACTTGGTGAATGAAGTCTTACATTCAAGTTATTAGTCTGTCACTCGATTGCTTAATCCTCTTTTCGAATCAACAGAAATTAAACAAATGCTGTGTTACATTACATCATTAGGTGCATGCATGCACCGTCTATGAATATGTAATTGGAATTTGCGCAATAACGATTCGATGTGTTATACGTTATTGAAATTGTGGTCGTGCTTTCATGTTCGCCTTGCAATTAAGTTCAAGCTGCCAGACTGTGTGTTGGCATTTGACATTCGACAACAATCCCACCCACACCCACACACACACACACACACACAAACACAGAGAGGGCAAGTGCGAGCGAGCACAGCTGCTAAGCCACAGGCACCGGGCTGGCAATATTAGCGGTGATATGACAAACAGCGAAGTGGAAACCATCGCAAAGCAAACACAAAGTGGCCCGTTTGTGCAGCAGCCAGAGCAACAACAAACTTAAGCACTCAGAAGGCAGTTACGTCTAGCTATGAGCAACGGAGAAATACTCCTTTATTTTGAGTGGCTTATCAGATCGTAATATTCTGATTCAGTTGAGTTCTCGTTTAGGCATAATTTTGATTCGTCTCGATTTCATATTCCATGCAAATAGATGTTTCGATAATCATTGTAAAATTATTATTATATTATATAATTTTGATTCGTCTTGATCTAAAATGTTTTATTTTATTTTTATTTTATTTATTTATTTATTAATATTTATTATTTTTAATATAATATTTCATTATTTTTTTATGTATTTATTTAAATTTTTTTTTATTACTTATTTTTTATTAATTTTTTTATTCCTAATCTCTTTATTTGTTTATTTATTTATTTATTTATTCATTTATTTATTTTTTGTTTATTTATTTATTTATACATTTACATACATATTTATTTATTTATTTATTTTTTTACAAGACTTATTAACATATAATTTCGCGTCCCATTTCAGCAAGAAACTTTAAAACTTCTTAAAGATTAAAAATGCAACACTAAAAATTAAGCATTAATTAAACATTAAACATTGCGTGAACGAATTATAAAAGAGGTGAGTGTAGACTGGTGGGAGCTAGATGAAGGCAGGGATATGAAATGAGACTCTGAGCTATGAACTAGAATATGGCCTGGGCTCTTTTAAGCCTGTACATGGTAGGAGTCAGTCACTTATGACGTTATCGTTTCAGGCAAATGAAAAACCAAAGAACCTTATATAAATTAATGAAATTTTAATAATAATTAAAAATTTCTGTTTCAAGAAATGAAAAATACAAACAAAATCTTCTAGTTTCTTTAAGCATAATATATTAATATAATATAATAATATATTAATATAATATAATATATTTTCAAAAAATTCCATATTCCTCATAGTACACATTTTTGGACCGAGGGTAGTTTCCACGGTATCAAATAGTCACCTAATCCGAGCCATCATAATCTCTACTGAGATGTTGCCGACATATGTCGCCGCCAATGAGCATTATGCGCTTTTGTGGGTTTTTAAGTTTAATTAGTGAACGCTGCTTGGCTGCTGGCTGTTTGGCAGGTCAAGGAGGAGGAGCTGACGCAGCGCCGATAAAATTACGTTGTCGATTCGGTTATGCGGTTGGCGAACGGCGCCACTGGATGCGAGATGAGAGACGAGTGTCTCTCTATGTGTGTGTATTTTGGGTTCTAATAGCTAAAAGGTGGCATTCACTTCAAGAGTTGCCAACGCAGTATAATGAGGGGCTCTCAAATGAGCATGAGCTACCTGTTGGGACACACACATACACACTCACACGCACACAAATGTAACTATATGAATTTCTGACTCTGATGAGTATTGAATGCGCTTTTGAAGTTTGCGTAGCTCGTTAAAAAGTTATTAATGCTGAAACGTGCTCATTGAAATAGTAACCATGTGGTTGCCAGCAAAATTATTTTTGGAGCCTGGTGTTTAGCGAGGAATTTAGCTCGCATTAATTAGTAGCTAATCAGAGATTGTGCTAAATTATTGTACGGGAAGCTAAAAAACAGCAAAACTTTCTGCTGAATATTGTCGCAGCAACTGTTTGGCTCGATAATTTGTGTGCTGACATTTATTGCACCCATAAATTTAATTGCCAAACTTCGCTGCATCTGCTCCATGCACAGGAAATCCATCTATAAATGTCCCTAGAGTAAGACATTAATGTCAAGCAAGACTGTCAACAAATTGCTTGCAACTGGCAGCTGGAAATTTTAAATTTTATGCCATTAGGACGGGCTTTGACCTTATTGACATCCATAAATTTATTTACATGTATATGTATATATTTACATGTATATGTATATACATTTTGTTTTTTCTGTGCGATTATTTCGTTATGGAACGTTTATTAACGAAACATGCCAATTAACGAATATAATCAGATACGCCTTCCATTTGGCCATTTAAAGGGAGTCAGACCAAGGTCCAACAAAGCAGTTTACTGAAGACTACAGTCCCGTTATGAAGTGGATTCTACTGCTCCCATTTTTGATGGCAATCGCGACGGCAATGAGTTTGCCTTCCGACAACGACAACAACCTTCTTCGGAGATCGACTTGCTGCGATCACGGTTGATTGCATTCAGAGGGTTTATTGAGGATGATTTCTTTTAAGGAGTCAAATACAGAATTTTCAGCCCGCGATAAATTACAAAATTTATCCAATATCTTTTATTACGCAGATATCCTAGAAGAGTTGAATGAATTCCATTGATAGTTTAACATATTCTGGAATATCCACTCATGTTAGTTATTTATTATGGATATTGACAAAACTATAGTTAACTTAAAGCAAGCTATTTGTGATTTTACAATTGTTGCCGGTTCAGAAGAACAAATATTCGACTATATATTTCAGAGGGGCTAACGCGAAATTTTCAGTTTCTTTAGCAGTAAATAGTGTTACTCCAGCCACATTTCAGTAAACATTGGTTTATTAATACATTAACAATATTTTATTAAAGTGATACGCATCGTCTCTGGTGGCACTGAATTCTCTATTTATTCATTCTCATGGAACAAATATTTACTTACATATGTAGAACAAAAATTAAAATTGGATAAACGTTGACATTTTCAAACTAAGATAGCTAATCAAATACGTTACAGAAAGTTACTTGACGTAATATGCCAATTAAAGATTATAGTTAGATACGCCTTCCATCTATTTATTTAAAGGGTGTAAGACCAAGGTCCAACAAAACAGTTTATTGAAAACTACAGCCCCGTTATGAAGTGGATTCTACTGCTCCCATTTTTGATGGCAATCGCTCAGTACACCACTAAAGCAGACGATGATGATCAATTTCGGAACTGCTGCCCACGGGAATTTCTTGCCAGTGCATACCCTCCAATGGCAGCTTTCCCACCAGAATGCTGCCCGTATTGCCTCTTGGAAGATTGCGAATCACCCTATCCACCCGATCCTACAGAGAATACTGATTATTGAGTATATTCGTCCTCCTCCATAAACGCTTATGATTTTTTAAAGGAGTAAACTAAAATTGTATTCAATTACATCCAATGTCTTTTATTACGTAGATATTCTCGAAGCGAATATACAACACATTATATAAGTGATTTGATTTATACATTTCATGGAATAAATATTTACTTATGTAATATAAAATTGGATAAGCCTTGACATTTTCAAATTAATACAGCTAATCAAATACGTTACAGAACGTGACTTTAACAAATGAAATATGTATCGTTACTTAACGCAATATGCCAATTAAAGATTATAGTTAGATACGCCTTCCATCTGGCTATTTAATAGGAGTCAGACCAAGGTCCAACAGCACAGTTTACTGGAGACTACAGTCCCGTTATGAAGTGGATTTTACTCCTCCCATTTTCGATGGCAATCGCTACGGCAATGAGTTTGCCTTCCGACAACGTGAACGAGCTTCTTCGGAGACCGCCATGCTGTGATCACGGTTGATTGCATTCAGAGGGTGTATAGACGATGATTTCTATTAAGGAGTCAAATATAAATTGTGCTTGCCGCGATTAGTTGAAAATTGATCAAAAGTGTTTTGTTTCGTAGATATTCTCGGAGAGTTAAATGGATGGATGGTTAAATGTATCGATAGTTTAACAGTTTTCTGCACAGACATTGCACAAAATCAAGATATCAATATCGCACTGCACCAAGTGCTAGTCGCCCACAGAAATGATCAGGTGCATCTCTACACGAACTCACTCATAAATAATACAAAATCTCTGATTAATAAGTGTGTTTTAATTAGAGTATATGTACTGAACACGATTTAAAAGAAAGAAGGGGAATATGTGATACAATCGAGTTCTGGTCTGGGCATTTATTTGTCTGTTCATTTGTATTGGTGTGGCTTTGCAGTTTTATTGGAACTATTGTTGAGTTTAATTGGGTTGCTTTCAGCTGAAGTTGACACACGTGCAACCCACTCCAGGGAGTGCAATGCACTCCAGGGACGTTAATAAAGCTGTGAGAGCAATTAATAAGATGGCCCGTACGGGGTACGGCCTTGTAGCTGGTGGCACAGCGCGGCTGATTTATTTACATCTAAGCCAGCCTCAAATTGAACTGAGCAAACAGCAGGAAACTTCAAAGTCTGGCAGCACACTGCACACTGTTGGGTAATTGTTCGACTGTTGAGTTGGGTCGATGAAAACTTTGGCATTGTCAATGCTTTCCCAGCGCCAAAAGGTTATTCGGGACGGCTCGGAAACAGGAAACAGGAAAAACGATAGAAAAGAAAAAAGTGCTCGCTCTTTGGTTGCATGGCTTAATTAGCACAAAAAGGCAGCCTTAGCAAAAAGAAAACTCAAGCAAATTGGTTTTAAATTTCAGCATGAAATAGGTTCACATCCAGCCGCTGAAGCCGCTCAAGCCTCTCAAGACTCTCTCGAGCCCTTCGACTTTGTCCAACTTTGCAAGGCAAAAGTAATTATGCGCATAAAAGTAGGCAACACTTTTTTATTCGTCGATGGCAAGACGGATTTCTGGGCCCAGTTTCCCACAGACTTGAGAAGGGTGAGTCCGTGTTTCGAATATGCAAACCCCAAAAGCATCTAACATCTGCTGGAAGAAATTTACAGTGAGTTCAGCATTTGCAGGGTATTTACTTAGCTACCACGTGGCAGCCGAAAATCTAAATTTCTGCTTTTAGCTGTCACTTATTGCATTGAAAAGTCAATTTTATAAAATTGAAATGTAAATTATGGAACCGCTCAATGATGCAACAGCGGGCAGGCGGCATGGAATCCACCGAAGCCAGTGGAATGGCTAATGTTCCGTTGACAGCTTAAAAGTCTACGGGAATGTCCATTCACATAAAAGCTATGCACTTATATTACTTTTAGCTGTGTGTGTGTGCTTCGACTGCATTGCTGTCAGGCGATGCACGGCTCGCTCATTCCCGATTCTCCGAGTCTTTACCTACAAATAGCTCGCTGAATATTCATAATTTGGCATATCTATTTTCGTGTTTTTCTCGAGAAACCTTGAACCCACCATTAGGAATATTTACTCGTCGCTCCCTGGCATGTGGCCTCCGAGGCGTATTACAAATACTCCAATAACAATCACACGATATTTTTCTGACAGTGCCCACTAGACTGCTGCCCTCACTGCCACTTGATAGCTTGCGGAGCACCATATCAAATTGAACCACCAGGTGAAATTCAAGATTGAGTGTGTTCGTCCTCCTTCTGAAATGCTTGTGAATTTTTTAGGGGGTAAAATATAAAATATAAATTTCATCTAAAAATGTATCCACTGTCTATCACTAAGTAGATATTCTCGAAGAGTTAAATGGATTCCATTGATATTTTAACAGTTTTCCACTCGTTTGAATAGCTCTTTGAGCTTTTACAATTATTGCAGGCGATGTAATGATAGCAACTGGTTGCTTCTCCCGTCACATTTCAGTAAACTTGGGTTTATTAATACACTGACACTATTTTATGTGAGTGATACGCCTGGACTCTGATGACATTGAATTTTCAATTCATGCATTTTCATGGGATAAATATTTACATAATCAATATAAAATTGTATAAACGATGACATTTCAATCTAAGACAGCTAATCAAATACGTTACAAATGATTTTTTAACGTAATATACCAATTAAGATTATACTTAGATACGCCTTCCATCTGGCTATTAAAGGGAGTCAGACCAAGGTCCAACAAAACAGTTTACTGATGACTACAGCCCCGTTATGAAGTGGATTCTACTGCTCCCATTTTTGATGGTAATCGCTGAGTGCACCAGTGATATGTACGAATTATATCGTGCCTGCTGCCCACGTCAAGTTCCTGCCGATGAATACCCTCAAATGCAAGGTTTCCCACCGAAATGCTGCCCACGCTGCCTTTTGCCAGACTGCCAGCCACCAATTGAATTAATTGAACCACCAGAGGAATATCAAAATTGAGTATATTCGTCGTTCTCCCTAAACGCTTATGGTTTTTAAAGGAGTAAAATAAAAACTGTATTCAATTATATCCAATGTGTTTCATTACGTAGATATTCTCGAAGCGAATATTTATTTATTTATTTATTTTTTATATGGGACACTTTACTTTTAATCAATTTACGGTATACAAAAGTGTTGTGTTTTACATATAAGAGTATTTTTAAATTTAAGAGTATAGGATACATTATTCTTTTCTACTTAATCATAATATTTTTTAAAATGGTAATTGATTTGTTAGAAACCACATAATAATTATCTTAACTTGACTTAAAACTACAACTTAAATTTAAAACTTATTTCTACTGGGTATGTAAAATAATATTAATATTGTGTCGGTAAATGGAATGCAGCCTATTTACTCTAGCTAATTCTACCTTTGCTTTAATATGTAACTCCATAGTAGATTAATACCACGGTAGGTTATGAATCATTATACCCTGAATGGTTTTGTTGAATGGAATTGAATGAAACCTAATGGTTTTGTTGAAATGTATGTAACAGGCAGAAGGAGGCGTGGCAGACCCCACAAAGTATATATATTCTTGATCAGGGCGACGAGCTGAGTCGATTTGGCCCTGTCCTTCTGTCTGTCTGTCCGTCTGTCCGTATGTTTGAACGCGTCGATTTCCGAAGATATAAGAGCTAGAGACTTCAATTTTTTTTTAAATGACCGTATATACAGCGCGGACGTCGAGTTTGCTTTTGCCGTGGGCATAGCCGGCCGGACTGGCAAATAAAATACCCCCATCGGGTTGGTGTTACTATTGAAATTATATCCTGTACATTGTATAGGCTTTTTTAAATTAAAATTGATTCTCGTTTTTGTCAATAGCTTTATGAAATAAATAAATAAATAAATATGCGAATAATTATTGAAATATCAGTTGCTCGAAGGGTTCAGGGGATCTCGTAGTCGAGCAGTCCCGACAAGAGCTTTCTTACTTGTTTTTAATATTTTATTTTGTAAAATTTGAATTTTTAATGTATGTAAGTAATTTGATTGCTTCTGCATACGCCTCGTCTCTGGTGACATTGATTTTTCAATTTATGCATTTTCATGGAATAAATATTTACTTATGTAATATAAAATTGGATCAACTTTAACATTTTCAAACTAAGACAGCTAATCAAATGCATTACAAATGATTTTTTAACGTAATATACCAGTTAAAGATTATAGTTAGACACGCCTGATGCCTACCGACTTATAGTTTATGGTGACTCCGACTCGTAACTCAGTTTCTTTAACTATTCGTTGAGTATCAACAGTATCAACTTTTTGTTGCAGTCAGCACATTTAATTTATTAAGTTATTTACACTGTTTAATGAAAGCACTGGGGTTGTGCTTGTGCCGCGTCTCTTGTGATATTGAGCATTGAATTGATGCATTTTCAGGGCTGAATGTTTTTTATTGTTGGACAAACCACAGGCAGACGAGGGCACTAAGCGATATAGCAGGGAAAGGAAAATGTCGAGCATTGGCGACTGGCGACTGGCGACTGGCAACAATGCCAACACATTTCACACAAATATAAATATTTGCCTTTGCCACATGGAGGCGACAGAGAAACCCAAACAAGCTGGCTGCCAGACAGACACCCTCATGAATTTTGCAAGCGAGTCGCACATGCTGCTTGGCTGCGAGGTTGCGAGAGGGTGGAGCTGGCACAATTGAACCCCGTTGCGGCTCTGGCTGCTTTTGGTATGTGTAGACACCAATCGTAAAGAAATATTCTGATTTATTGTCTCCTTTCATATTTCCGCACAATTTATGCTCGCAGCTAGAGCAGCGGGAAGTCGTACAATTAATATGTTTACCCGGCGTATGCGTTATCCCAATTTTAAAGCGTCTCTAGAGATTTGGATTTAAGTCCAGATCGATTCAACAATCGGCCTACAATTGTGCTTTGCCACATTGCATTAAATATAAAAATGTATATATATTAGTAATCGCTCGGTTATGTGAATATTCTCTTCTCTGTATTAGATATTGCATATCGGTACAGCAGAACGAATCAAGCATTTGTCAGTTCGACAGCTGTCAAGTCAGTAATCGCATTTGATTTACCTGATTTGCTAGCTGGAAGGAGAGATCATGTGAAGTTGTTAAAGTGCTGCTGGTGTCTTTCGGCTAAAAACAAATAGCCAAACCAGAGAGAAAACCAGAATAACCAACTTACAAACTAGCAGCAAGGCATGCACAAGCATGCCGAAACATTTGGGCATTCGGCATGTCATTTGGCCACAGGCGACAGGCGAAAGTCCGCAATCAGCCAGGCTGGAATTGGAGAGGGATTTGCTCAAGTCCCACTCTCCCCGCACCCCAATAGCCCTTGACAGGCGCTTCATTGTCGCTATCATTGTTGTCAAGCGGGCTTCAAAAAGGAACAAATCAAAAAAAAAAAAAAAAAAAAAAAAAACAGTTGGCGCAGAGCAGAAGGCAAAAACTTTTACGCACGTTTCTCGTACATATGCCAAATCTGTGGCTCGTTTTTGCCTACACTCTTCTCGAGGGCATTCAAATTATGTCACGAGATCTGATAGATGTCTCCTCGATGATATCACTTATACGATTATGTTCAAATCTGTGTAGGCCAAGCAATTTATAATATTAGTCTAAATTTAAATTCAGTTTCAACTTTAGTTTTTTATGCCACGCCAGCCAAATCTTTATTCAACTAGAAATCTGCATATATGTATTTTGTTGTGTTTCTAGTTTTAGATAGAGTATATGCTCATAGGTATATCGTAGTATTCTTTTTTTTGGGGGGGGGTTCAGTTCCTTTTTTTTGGCATTCGGTCGGTGCCCCAAAATGATGAAGGGTTTCATTTGATTTGGTTGCTTTGCCATTTTTCTGGTTTCACCGCCTGTTACGCTTGTTGTACTTGCTCTATGTGTGTGTGGGTGTGTGTGTCTGTGTGCTCTGCTGTCGTTGTTAATGTGGTTGCTGTTGCTGTCATAGAGCAATGTCTCCTTACAGATACACACAAAAATCAACTCTAGACATATGTTAGTATTGAGGAAATCGCCCAAATTTCCATATGGCAATGCCAATGAACTAAGAAATGAAAAAGTAAATAGAGAAATCACGCAGCTGGACATAGGCTTATAGACTGCACACACACCTGCTCCAGAGCAACTATGTATGTCACATTATTTATCCTGTTAAATTATAGAGTTATAAGGTTTTTTATTTAGTTTAACTAGCTGTAGTCGCGACTATTTGTATATCTGCAAATGTTGCATTCCCATATTTAAGTAAAATCTAGTTCTTCCTTCCTCATTAACTTCGTGAAGAAATCTGAAATATGAATAATAATTAATATATTTACATATATAATGTAGGAAATTGGATTTAAAAAGTATTTTCAACTTATCTTAACAGACTAAACTAAGGGGGGATAAAAATTGTAGAACATTTTTATTTATTTTCATTCGTCAATTCCTAATTTGAAGCCATTCTAACTTTTCGTGGTTTGGACTCAATATGCACTCAAACATATTTTGCATTTTCCTACATCCTTTCAACTGCTGTGAAGCAATCTGATTATATAATGTGTATATATTGGTAGGGTATATCATAGTCAGTACTGCCAGCAGAAGTCGTTTTCAGACTGTTGCATTTGCTGTTTCCAGCAATTTCACATTCAACCCTAACGATTTGACAAGCCAAAACTTAACGCATCTGTTGCCACTTGCAACCTGCTGCTGCGATGCCTTTGCATATTGCAGTAACAGTTGCGACCTGTAGATGGCGCTGCCTGCTGAGCTGCGTATGCAAATGCTCCAGGCGCTGGCTCATTGAAATCAATTTCGCATGAAGGCAAGGATTCAAATGGCGCCACATGAGATCCACATCCAGATGCACATTCAGGTTGCCAGCGGTTAAATGAACCGGAAGTGTTTTATGCTGAAAGAGATGCAATTATTTATATGTGTGTACACACCATCTGTGCACACACACACATACATACTCACATATATGTATATTGTGAACTATTTGTGTTTGTGTAAGCCTCGGCAAATGCCAACAAACGTGCAGAGCTTTTGGCATTTGCATGCAAACGCGCAAATATGAGAAGCCAAGTCCAATCCTCCATTTAGTGGATAGCTGCCACTTTAATACCCTGTACGCAATGCGCACTTTGCAACGGCTATTTGCATTCAGTTGTTAGCATAAACTATATATTGTGATTCATTTCATTCATTCAATTCATCAAGAGAAGATTCCACTCTTTGGCTCTGCTTTAGCTAGTAGATTTTAATTTTTTGTATCTTTTAGTTTTTAGTCCAGGGTATCATTGCAGGCATGCTTACCCCACCAGGGTACACTTAGTTGATAATTCTACAATTTTGCGTTCTATGTGCAACGTGCTCGTTCCGCTCGTCGCCTCTATACCCTGGCCAGACAGTGAGAGTGAGAGGCAGAGAGCGAGAGAGGGAGCGAGAGATGGTCTGCATTGCACTTAAGTGCTTCAGCGCTTTGTGCGGCATTGTGCTTGGTTGACAGAGCAGCTCGGCTAAACGGCAGCCGGACAGACGTGCCAGCCTCCAGCTAAAAGTCATTAGTCGCAGTCAACGTAAACACGGACAGGCTGGACAGCAGCTGGACAAGGGCTCACTGCTGTCTGATGATGATTTCCACAGTGGCATCGCTTTTCTTTCTTCGCCGAATTGGCGCTGCGGACTCGCTATTTAATTTGCTAATGTGCCCAAGTCGAGCACGTATGCAGCAGCATCAGCATCAGCATCTGCATCTGCATCTGCATCTCTAAAAAGAACAACGGCTATAAATATGTTAAATATATTAAAGACTTAAATGCATTTAAATTGCATTTTCTCGTTTGGATTTCATTTGCAATTTTGAGGAGAATGAGTCGAGATGTTGCTGGATTCTGAGTTTTAGGTCTATGTATAAGAATTACATTTCATGTATATGCGAAATAATATCTATGAAATTATATTTATTCATTAGCCAAATAACTGTTATTATTGTTGATGTTATTATTGAAATGATTTGTAATATAAATACTTATCATATATAATTTAGTTAAATTCCCTTACATATTCCATTCATATATAATTTAGTTAAATTCCATTGCATATTCCATTCAATCAGCAGTCTAAGGAAGGAGAAATGGCCTTTGTGTGAAGAGCGTTTGCTTTTTATTAAAGACTCTATATCAATAAAGACTGTTTTATATGATAATATATTAAGTTTAAAATCATTTAAATTAGCTAAAAAAAATTAAATAAAATAAATAAAAACAAGTAAGAACGTTGCAGTCGGGCGTTACCGACTGCGGAATACTCATTCACATCCCGTCAACAATTTAGTAGTTAAGTTTTGCTCTAATACTGTAGAATATACAGGTTTTTCCGATTTGCCACGCCCCAACTGGGCGTAGACACCTCATTTTTGGTCAGTTTTTAGAAAGAGATAACAGTACCCTAACTGCAAAGTTTGAATGATTACCCTCAAAAAATGTGAAAATTACAGGGTATTTTTCGATATGTCACGCCCCTAAAGAGGCGTAAAAATTATTTTTGGGGAATCGATAGAGGAGGCTACCAGTAACTCAACTATCCAAATTTGAAGCTTTTAGCTATTATACTTTAGGAGATATAAACTTTTGCGGTTTGCCACGCCCCCTGTGGGCGGACATATATCCGACAAAACTTTTTGGTCTTGGGTGATCAGTCCGAGTATATATACAAAATTTGAGGTCTCTGCCATCAATAGTGTCCAAAATATAGGAGAATTTAAAAAATCACTATATCTTCAGGTCCGATTTGCCACGCCCCCAATGGGCGTAGACTTATAATTTATCTTCAAACTTTATAGAATCATAACATTAGCTGACGTGCAAAATTTCAGCATTCTAGGTTTACAACTTTAGGAGATACAGTTTTATCCGATTTGCCACGCCCCCAATGGGCGTAGATATATCCGCCATAGCTTGTGATCTTGGGTGGTCAACGCGGACCTACATACCGAATTTCAGCTTTCTAGCTCTTCAACAAACATGATTTCTGGTATATCGGAAAATGCATTTTCCGATTTGCCACGCCCCTAGTGGGCGGATCGGGAAAATTTTAACACTTTATAAATCGGAGATATACACGAGTATGTGTTCCAAATTTCAAGTCTCTAGCTTCAATAGCGCCGAAATAGATTGCGTTCATACGGACAGACGGACAGACGGACAGACGGACAGACGGACGGACGGACAGACGGACAGACGGACAGACGGACGGACAGCAAGACGGACATTGCACAAAACCAATATACTGATTCACTTTCGTGAATGAGTATAATAACAATTCAATCGCTAATAACAAATTCTATACATTTTTAACGACCACTGTATACTTTAGATGTCACTAATACCAATCCAATATATAGACAGAGACATTAATCACTCACATACATGAAAATGTGTACTTACTTTATGATACTGTATCTTTCCTATATCTGCCTTTCTAAAAATATCCTGACAATTATCCTTGACAACTACGATTGGTTATGAAAGCAGGTCCTCTCGGATTTAAAAATATTCCAACCACATTCGATATCCTTCAGTTGCAATTTAGCAATGCTTTTATACAGTAAGTAAGCACGAAAGAGAAAGTTAATTTCGCTCTTAAAACTTCTTCGATTCTCAATAACAAATTTCATTATCCGATTTGAAAAGTCTAAGAATGTGTTGCATACTTTTAGGCAATTATGTATTTGCGATCTAATAGGAGCAATTCACGCAGGCAGTAAACAGTGCCAGGAACAAAATAAAAAAACTGGATTGGATGTTGAGACCCTCCAGCAAGCTGTCGCTATGGAGCAAACTTAAAATATATAATGCCATCGTGGTCCCAACGCTCACATACGCTATCCCCATTTGGGGTACTGCAGCGAGGACTCACATAAAGAAAGTGCAAACCCTGCAAAACA